TACCAAGAACTGGGGGAGCAATTAAAACAAATTTTGCATCGTTGGGTAAAATTTCAATATCCACTTCGCATTGGTTAATTAAATAAAGTGGTTGATTAAAAATATCGGCATCGAGTTTTGTTATAAATTGAGCCGTTTTACTTGAAGAAAATAAACTTTTACGAGATTCATAGCCTTCTCCACTTTCTAGAGATACGCCAGAATCAAAATAATAGCCAGAAGCATTAAGATGGGAACTTTTTGCTCCTTGGGAATACGATAGCTCGTATGAGAAGTAGCTTTTGTAAGCATACATAGAATTTGAATTAAAAATTTCGCGGCCATTAATATTAATTTTCATATTATTTATAAAAGTTTGTCCTATCAATTGAATTGGTGCAACATTGTCTGTTGCGCCCAGATTTACAAGGTAACCATTTTCATTTTCTTTTCTTATTCTAAGTTCGGTAAAAAGGTAGCATTTTGACAAATCAATATAATTTTGGCTTGAATGAATTTTGAAGTGGTAGGGTGTATCTGTAAGAGGATTGCTGGGGAGAATTTCAAAAACTTTAGAAGAAGTTACTGTGACATTAGTTGGAGGGATTTGAAAAAAGTCAAGTGCGCTAGTTATAGAGTTAATGCTTTCATTATCAATTTTTTGAAAAGCCATATTTAATAAAGTCCAAAGGCGTCTGATCTTACGCGTTTTTTTAACTTTTTTGCCAATAATTGTTTGATATGACGGTATAGCGTTCCTTTTTATACCCTTCTTACGACCAGTACCAAATTGTTTTGGTAATCCTCCTTTGTCTAAAACATTATCGATTCCCTTCCTTCCCTCTTCCTTTAGAGCTGCCTTAAGTGGCTCTCCCTGATTTACTCTCTCTAATACCCTTTGGCCAGTATTTAGTGCTTCCCCTGCCACTGTAGTACCAGCTTGTTTAATAATTGGGAGGAAGAAACGCCAAAGCCCTCGCATTACATCTCCAATTCCTGCACCTCTTTGTGAACTGCCATATCCTCGCTGAAAAGGCGATGATCCTTTGAAGTAACTATATTCGTCAGAAATACCACTTCCCCTCATAGGAACAAACTCTTCATATCCAATAGATCTTGTATCAAAAACAACATGAACCATTTTTGAATAATTTTATTAAAAATATTAAATGAAATTTACAATTTTGAGGGTATTTATATACACACGAAAAATGATTTAAAAATTTATAACTTTTTTAAATATCAAAACTATCATCACTGTTCCAAAAGCAAATGGCACAAGTCTTCCCCCATCCATAGTTCTTAATTCAATCTCAATTTCGTTTATTTCTTTGGGAAGCACGCGAATAAAAATAGGTGAATCGTAAATCTTTTCATGATATTCTCCAGGGGTTGCTCCGGAGACAGACACAACTCTCAGTAATGAGCTTAGCGAATTTCCTACAATCATATTCTCAGTTAAACCTCTGGAGTAGACAGCAAAACTAGAAAATCCTCCTCTCAAGTCACTGCCATATTTTGCAATCTCCTCATTCATGACCATATTTGTATTTTCAAAACCCAAAACATAACCAAGTTGGGGAGAGAAGGACAGATATTTAATATTTGGATGAGAAAATTCGAGTTTAAATCGTTTAAAATCGTTATGAAAATATAGAGAAATGGAATCTATAATCTGTTTCTGGACAGTAGTGTCAATTTTATCTTTTCTTAAACTACTGTATTTTTTCAGAAGTCCTTCCATCATTGGCAAATAACTTTCTCTTTGAAAATTAGTAGGGGTTTTTCCTAGTACGTAGACAAGAACTCTTTCCATATCATCTGTCCATTTTATTCTCTCTTGAACGTATGTTTGATTTTGTTTTAATGGAAGAGCTTCGGGGAGCGAAGGAAGAGTTTGGGTAGGTGGAGGTAGTGATTCCTGAGTTTTTTGAGGGGTAGTAGGTTTTGGGAGAGGAATTAATTTTTGAGGTGTTGACTTTTGTTGAGGCAAAATTCGAGGAGGTGAAGATGGAGGTTTTTGAGCAGGGGGAGGTACTTGTGGAGTAGAATGTTTTTGAGGCTGGGGAAGTTGTGGTTTTTGCGGAGTTGGAGGTTTTTGAGAAGAAGGCGGTTGTGTAATAGGAGGTTTTTGAGTAGAAGATAGAGATGGTTGTGTAGTAGGAAATTTTTGAGTAGAAGGTAGAGGTGGAGAAGATTGTGTAGTAGGAGGTTTTTGAGTAGAAGGTAGAGGTGGAGGAGGTTGTGTAGTAGGAGGTTTTTGAGTAGGAGGAGGTGGAGGAGGTTGTGTAGTAGATGGTTTTTGAGCAGGAGGAGGTGGAGGTGGTAGTTGAGGAGTAGGTTTTTGATTAGTTTGAGGTATAGGTTTTTGGGGAGTAGGGGGTTTTTGAGCAGGAGGAGGTAGAGGTGGTAGTTGAGGAGTAGGTTTTTGATTAGTTTGAGGTATAGGTTTTTGTGGAGTAGAGGGTTTTTGAGGTTGAACTGTTGGTTTAGGGGGTGAAGCAAGCTTTTGAACAGGCGTAGGTGGTTGTATAGTGGGTTTTTGAGCAGGAGCTGGTGGAGGTGGTAATTGGGGAGTAGAAGGTTTTAGAACAGGAGCAGGTGGTGGTTGTGATTGAGTTTTTTGAATAGGTTCAGGAAGAGGTTTTTGTGGAGTGGAAGGTTTTTGGGCAGGAGGAGGTTGAGGGGGTAGTTGAGGACTAGGAGGTTTAGTTTGAGTTAGTGGTTTCTGTGGAGCAGCAGGTTTTTCAGTACTAGGAGGTTGAGGTTTAGGGGGTGAAGAAGGTTTTTGAATAGGTTGAGGTTGAGGAATTGATTGAGGTTGTAGTCTAGGAGGCGATGGTAATAGAGTAATTGAAGGTTTGTGAATTTCTTGAGGCGTAGGTTTCTTAGCTGGAGGTGTAGGTGAAGATGGCTTCGCAGAATTTACCAATCGCGGGGGAGATGGTGGATCTATTCTTGGAGGAGATGGAAGAGTCTCCTCCAAACTTCGTTTTGGGCGACCAGATCGTGGTGGTGACATTAATGTTGGTCTATTTAAAAATCCTACATTATCTAGAGGAGATGCTTCGAGCACTTCGCTTTGATGTTGCAATGTGGAGATTAAAAAATTAAGTAAATCTTCAGGTTTATTGTGAGAACCTCTTGGGACAGGGACCCTTATGACCTTAGCCTTTCCTTGAAAGTCAGTACAGTGAATATCAATCCACTGCTCTTCAAGTGTACCAATAGTTGAGGGCCATGAATAAGGATATGAAATACTGTGTAATCCACAAACCCAGTCTCCCGAAAAATAAATTGGTTTCGGGAGATGAACTCGAAACTTATTTGGCTGATTATCTGGATAATCAGTTGTATTACTTAGCAAACACACGTAAAAACTGTTAGACATTTTTATAACAAATAAATATATACAATATGAAAAATGACTTTTATACTAATTGATTCTCGTGTATCCATTCCCTCTCCGGGTATCCAATAAATTTTACAAGTACTTCATAGGCACCATCTGGTCGTTTCCTTTTGCGGTAAACCTTCTCAATCCTATACTCTGTCCCTGCATCTTTTTTGACTTTGGTAAGTTCTTCGTTGTAATAAGACCCCTTGTACTTATTACCGTTGTCATCCTTTAACTTATAACGAATTGGTCTAGATTGATCTTTGACTCTGTCGACTTCCACTATGACATCACCCCAATTTGGAATATAGCCCTTTTCAAATGTTCCTTTATCGACACTAGTACGTACAAAATCTCCTTTTTTAAATTTAGGTTTTGCCTTTCTAATTTTTGTAGACAATTCATCTCCATAAATCCTCTCCCACACCTCTTGAGCATTTTTAAAGTTAACGTCAATAGGTCTCATTCCATGAACCCGACTCTTTGCTTTATTTATTCCTTCCAAAATTTCAGGTAAGATCTCAAACCAATTAAGTGTTTTGTAGTGGGCAAAATATCGATATAATCGTTGTTTGACATTTCTAATTGCACGCTCCGCAAGCGAAGCTTTAACTATTGAATGGGTAGCTTCAAACTTTTCAATTTCTTCTTTTTCAAAAAATTCTTTTAGTTGTTTATTTTTAAATTCTAACCCTTTATCAGAAAATATTCTATGTGGCTTCATGGGCATTTGGTCGATTAAATGTTTAAAAGCTTCTAACATATCATCAATCTTTTTAGACTTGACAGGAACTCCAAAAACTCTTTTTGAAAGGACATCAACCCCCAATAAAAGATACTTATTTCCTTTATTGTGTCTTGACAATGTTTGTAAATCCGCCAAATCAACCTGAACATCTGTCATAAATCCAGCAGCCACAGTTCTATTTCTAGAAAAATGTATTCTCTTGGGACGCATAAGGGAATAAGTTCGGTGTCCCTCAAGGAAATCCTGCACAACTTTTCTTGGTAAATTTTTAAGGACTTTACGTGCTTCGTGCCATAATCTGTCAACTCCGGAAAATGCTGCAGGTGAATCGGGGTCATTATAGAGATGTTTCAAAAGTTTTGTATAATCTGCCATTTTTACCAAAGTGAGGGTTTAAATCTATTTATATCTTCCTGTGTAGGCTTTTTTGACGCCCATTTTTTACTGATTGTACGTCCTTTTACTTTACGTAAACTTATATCCTCTTGAGTTGGTTTTCTCGATGCCCATTTTTTAATCCCTTCTTTGCGTCCTCTTAAAATATTTAATTTTTCTGACCAAGCTTTTGATAATTGTTCCGATTTTTTCTTCGAGGCTGGTTTTATTCTTTTGAGATGAACCGCACTAGTGTCTTCAGGGATTACATATTTCCTTTTAGAACGCTCTCGCGGCAATGGAGGAGACGGGGATCTACCTTCTCTCAATATTCCATGACGACGACGAGATCTTTTAGCTCTATCTAAAACTTCTGCCTCCTCATCTCGACGTATTTGTTGAATTACACTATGATCAAGAGGGACTTTGACATTTTGGGATGTTTTTCTTCTCCTTAATAGCTCTTTCTTCTTTTGAATCTGTGCAATTTGTTCTCTTAACCTAAGTTCTCTATTTTCATATGTATTTTTACTCCTCTTATTCCCTTCAAAATCTTCGGATACCTGGTCCCTTTTTGAAGCTTGGATCGATACAGGAGGAGAATCACTTAAAGGAGCATTTTGTGCATCGAGTATGGGATCTTGTGTAATATTAGACTCTACAGCCGATGTTGAGGGTAAAGGACGGCTCACTGTTACTTTTTTCTTTTGTTTCTTTTTAACCGGAATTTTTGATTTTTTAATTTTCTTAATTATTTTTATTCTTTTTGGTTCATCACCATTATCTTGTTCTTTCCTCTTTGTAATTTGGCGTTGACTTTGTACAGTGCTACTTCTAGGTAGAGAAGGGGGTATTGATGGATGGTAGGAAGATTCAGAAAGAGGAGGTACAAAATTATAAGCGAGACTAGGAGGTTCTCTAGGATAATTAGAAAATGAAACGTCATCGCTCATCCATAAATCATCGTCATTTTCGGCTATATTTGTTGAGGGATGAGTTTGGTCTCTATTCATAATAGCACCCTTAGGCGAAGCAACCATTTCAACCCTAACAGGACGATTTTGACTTTCATTACGTAGATGGAGATAACGTCTTAATTCTTGATTGTAGTGAATATTTTTTGCACTTGGATGTTCCTTTACTCTTCGAGTTTTATCAAGTGTTCGTCGGACATCATCTAGATTTGGTTCTCCTGTATCAAAAGTAGTAAGACCACGATAAATTTCTTGAGGAACAAGAATAAATTTATTAGCCATAATTTATTAATAATAAGAATTTTGATTAATTTGCGCTTTTTATAGAGCGCGCCAGTTCAATGAGTATTGGGGTAAGAAGGGCGGCAAAGGCTCCAATACCATTTCCTTTCTGTAAAGCATGTTTTGCTCCCCTCTTGCTTCGAGCCCTACTTACGCCACGGACAAAGCAGGCATAAGGCATTAAGCGTTTCTTTTGACGAGTCGTCAATTGAAATCGTGATTTAACAATATTTAGACAAATTTCTACAAGTGCTAAAAGTTGTGAAGTACTAGCAAGTCGTAAAAGTCGACGTATTTTTCTTTGAGATTTTGTATGACATAAAATATTTAGAAAATTTGAATTCTCTCGTATTAAATGACTAACCATTTTAAATTCCACTTTTTGGAGTAAAGACAATTTTTTCCTCGTCGTCCTTAAATATCCCTGTCCTCAGCCTTAGTGTTGCATCAGATGCAGCGTGCATATCGATTAATAAGTAGCCGTAAGGTTGATTAGTCGATTGCCGATATGCATCGAGAAAATAGTCTAATTTACTCGGGAAGAGTTGTACTCCTATATTCCTAACTGCAAGTGCAGAATTTGGGGAGCGCATTAAAACAATATATTGCGCATTTTGTCGGGCAACTTTGATTTTACGATCAAATAAATTTTGTGTTACAAATACGACTGCAAAATTTTGATGGTGGGATTTTTTAGTAAATAATTCAGACAAATATTTCTCATCAATCGACAAAAGGAGATCATCAAGAATTAAAAGGAGTGGTTTTGGAAATGTTTTTAATAATTCTTCGGAGGGAACGCCGACAAAAACGGCAACTCCAGATTTTTGGAGTATTGGCACTATACTACTCATTTCTCCAAAACAATACAGTATACTACTTGGTTTGGGGTCGATTAAGTCTACCGCTTCGGAAATAAATTTTAATAAGAAGGTACTCTTCCCACTTGAACTAGGACCTGAAACAATCATACCAAAAGGCAATTTGAATTTCAAATCTTTATTAGAAAATGTTAATGATTCCATTTTAAATTGTAAGAAAACTAAAGGAAATAAAAAATTAATTAGCTTAAATACTATCGGTAAAAATTAAAGAGGTGGTTGTAAATTTGTATCGCTTGGGTTGTTTACTACTTCATTCTTAACATCATTTTCTGCTAACATTCCCATTGTAACAGCCTGCATAGAGTCGAAGAACTCCAATAGGACTGCTTCTTCATTCTCTTTTGTTTCTTCTTTAATTGGAGATAATCCTGCGAGGGGTTGCTGTGGTGGTATTTCTTGTTGCGGGGATGCAGGTGGTGATGTTAATATTTCCGGTTGTGGTGCAGGGGGAGGTGATAATATAGGTGGCGGTGTTAGTAATTCGTTTTGCGGAGGAAGTGGGGGTGGAGGAGGAGGTGGGGGTAATAGTTGTGCTTCAGCTTCTCTCTTACGGGAATTTGTGACAGAACAAACATTTTGGGAACCGTATGGAATGTTCAACACACGACCCTTGTTTTTAATCTTAATGAAAATTATTTATTCCTTAATTATATAATGAATTACCTTGAAAAAACAATGACCCGGTAAATCATAAATACAATCGAAGGGTACAAATCGGGGAGCTGAGAAGCGAGTGCAATAGATAGTTACTCCTTCCTTTGTCACAATAAAATCCAGTTCGACCTCTGTACTTTTACATTCACGACAGCGGCCACTATTCTCAAAAGGGATGAAGCGAGGAGTAGAAATTCTCTCACTAGTTAAGGTAATACCGTTTGTTGTAAAATTGAAATCGACTTCTGGAATTATTTGTGTTAATAGAGACATCTTGTCATTCATGTTAATTGCCATTTAAAAATTTTAAAATGATTCAAGTATCAGATTATCGGTTTATATACCCTTCTCTCGTCCAAGGTAAAACCGGTTCTATGAACCCTACAAAATTTCTCACTCCAAGAATATAGAAGCCAAGCCGTTTTTAAAAATGAAGCCAAGCCAAAAATTTAAAAAATCGATATAAAGCCACGCCCACTATTCACAAATAATCCATAAATTTAATTTCCTAGTCATTATACATATTTATAATTAATTATTTACAAATTAGTTACAAAATTTTTTCATCTTTTAAAATGTCTCAAGATATACCATCAGGTAAATATTTCTATAATTTCATTCTAATAATATATTTAAGAAAGTGTTAATGCAAAGGTTGTGGATTCAGAACTGGAGAAAAAAGATTCTATTAATAAACATTTGACACTGGTGCAAGAGAAAGAATTAGTTGTTAACAACTCTTCAGGTTTTATCAGTTAATTATTCTCAATAAAAATTTTTAAAGATAATAGTCCAGTGGCATTAAATGAAATAAAAATTGTCAAAGAAAAAACTGTTAAAAATCAACTTTGGAAACTAATTCGTGCAAAATTCTTAATCACGTTCTATCTGTGCCAAGGTGAGAACAATTAATATTCTATTCAAAATTTAATTTTAGAATGTCAAAACAACTTATTCTATTCGCAAGATAAATTTTACGAGAATTCTTCTGGAGTTACAGTGAAAATAGGATTATGTCATAAATGTGTCGAAGCTAACAGCAAAGCTACAGATTTTCTGGCACCGTACAAAAAGATTGGCAGCAAAAGAAAGGCAGATTGAATGGGATAAAATGACAGTAATTTAAGAAAAATCGTTTTAAAATTTAAAAATTTCGTTGTAAAATTTAAACATTGAATTGATAAAATAATTAATTAAATTTAAACGAGTTATTCTAAAATATTAAACCTTAATTAATATTACTATTAAATTTGTTTAATATTTACTTTAACCATTATTAATCCTTGACCATTTAGTTTTTGGGGGGAGAAGGAATTAGGAAAGACAAAGTATCGACATGAGTGGAGAAAACAAAGAATACAAATTTACTATTATTAATATATTAATATTACTACTCATCTAAAATTACTTTTAAAAAGAAAGATAGTATATTATAAAATTTATTTATTTAAAAAATGATTAAAGAAATATATTTTTAAGGCCAGTTAAATCATTAAAATAAAATTTTTAAAATAATCAATTTGATTATAACCTATAAAATTTCTAAATTTCAGGTATATTATTTTTCATTTTTTCTTATCATTCATTGTTTATAATTAAGTTCTTTTTTCTTCTTCTCAAACAAATTTTGACATTTTGTCCATTTTTCCTGTTTCAGATGGTTGAAGTTTCTAAGGGAAAAATATTTAAAAGAGAAAATCTCTTATTTAAAATTTTTTCGAATTCTATTAAAAATTAAGAAAGTTTTTTATTTAAAATTTTTTATTAAAAAATTTTTTTGACATTTAAAAATTTTTTTAAAAGTTACAATTTTTCCAAAATTAATTTCCAATGGTGGGCATTCACATGTTTGTTTAATTGGTTGTAACTTAATTGAACAAATAAAAAAATTTTTTAGAAATATTTTACTTCAATTTGTTCTCCTTTATTTTTATAAACGGTTCTGTGCCTTGTTTTATTATATACTTGTCGATTACATAAGCAATTTGTACATATTGAAACCAACTGAAAAACAAAATTTAATACCCCACATAAAAATAAATTTATTTTTTAATTACTTTAAACCCCAGCAATAAGATAATACAACTAAGATTAATAAGATAAGTTTGAACTTGAAAATAAACATAATTTTTCAGAAAAAGAAAAGGATTTGTTAAAAATTTCTTAAAAATATAAAATTTAGATAGTAAATTTATTATAAAAAATAAAATTGTATATTAATATAATAAAACTTTTGTATTATCTTATTGCATCAACTACCCTTTCCTTTAAACTTTAAATTAACATATTATTTTTTATTAAAAAACATACAAAAGAAAAAACATCCAAAATTTATTTTTTACGCAGTCTTTTGTTTCTATGCAACCCTTTAAATTATTAAGAAAGGCACATCGAGAGAGATAACCCAGAAGATCAACTCTAGAAATTCAGTAGGTGACCTTTAGGGTTAGCCCACCTAGTGTGAATTATTAATAGTAAAAAATTAAAAAAAACAAATTAAAAGTTTATACAAGAAAAAATTAGTAATTGTCTCGTTTCACTTATTAGATTTGATGCTCTAAAGAGAGCATTTTGGGTTCTGTAAAGCATCCACCATTTGTCCATCGTCCACCAAATTTTCGCGCACTCAAACCTTATTTTAAAATTCCCCTTGGCCCCCTCCACCAACAAATTAGTTACCATATTCTACTCCCCATCAATTAGTAAAAACAAATTTGTTCAGACCCCTCCCCCATTAATAATTAATTAGGTACTAATTAGTTCAGACCCCTCCCCCAAAATAATTAATTAGGTACTAATTAGTTCGGACCCCTCCCCCATTAATAATTAATTAGGTACTAATTAGTTCGACCCCTCCCCACATTAATAATTTATTACCCTTACGACAGGATCAAAAGAAAATGCCGACAAAATCCCCCCATATCCACAGGATTTCTCGGACCCCTCCCCCAGACCCCTCCCATAGGTTGGCGGCATCCCTTTGATCATCAATCAAAAGGATGGCGGCATCCCTTTGTGCGAAAACCCGGGGGTTAACTACTAGGGTTGACAATAAGAATTGAAGGTGGAAATTTTGAAGATAGTCTAAATGGGGAAATAAAAGTAGTTTATGTGGATAAAGACGATTACGCGAATTTTATTGAAATTCAGCCGTTATTTGAAGAGGAAACGTTTGAAATGATTAGAGATAATGTACAAAATGAAATTAATGAAGAGCCTGTTTATGATTTAAGCAAGTTATTCAAT